GAAAGAAACGAAATAAAACGGCAGATAAAATAAACTCTTTTAACAGGTATACACAGAGAATTGGCCAATGACATATGTTTAAAGACTATGATATTCTAATCGTCTCTTTTCTAATTGAAGTTGCCTAGTCAAGTTTTCGTATATATAACTTACCTCTCTTTTCCACTTGGCTGTTTCCTCAAAAGGTTGATGTACCTAGCTCCTGGAATAAAAGTCAGTATTATCTCTTGATCATCTTAATCCTCAAGTTTTCTAATTATATAGAAATGATCACATAGTCTTGAATACTAAGTTGTTTGCTTAAGATTTCGTTGTTTTTTCTATTTTTTGTTGGCATTCTTTCGTTGTTAGACCGTCTATTCACGGGTACGAAAACGCCTTGGAACAAAATAATGCGAAGGGTATTTATTTACTATTATAACAAAATCGATTTTCAATCGATCTTATCAAAATATGCGGATCAAAAGTTTTGATGGTGATGAAGATATTAGAATGGAAGATGATATCAGTGAAAGAACAACAACGGCTGCTGTTACTACTGTTAGTTCTATTACAACTTAATTAAGTCAGTCTCAATTATTGTTGGAGGATATTACCTGCAGATTTGTTTTTGCACAAAATGGTCCAGTATTTCGTAATTATAGTTCAATTAAAATCAATTTATATTACGATGACGTCGAAATATCCGAGCCTTTCAAAAAATGAAAACAAGTGTTATCGATTTTCTACTGTACATTAGCCAATATTCCACGAGAATACTGTTATCGTGATAAAAATATATTTCTTGTAGCTATGTGATAAGTATTCTTATATGATATGATCAAGAATTTGGCGTGAACTATTGAATAAAATGCTATTATCCCTCTTTGTTCACTATATCAACTGGTCACTCTATAAAAACTGATGTTGTTTTTGACTGATGCTCTTTTATAGTGAGAAAAAATTTGATATCAGATTTAGATTTAATAATTTATTAAAAGATTTTACCAGTTCGATGAAAAAATTGTACACAATGGGTTTGGACATTATTATATAAAGTCAAAAGGTTAAAGCTTATGGCGGTTTATTCACTGTTTTGGGTCACCTATTGGCAACTGTGGGTTTGCACGGATTCAAAATGGGATTTAAATATACGAGCGTAGTAGCAAGTTATCCCTTCATAACTTGTTATAACAAAAATAACCTTCAGTTCGGTTTTACACGCCAACAACAAACTATTATTACGATAAAATATTTTACAGAAAAACTAATGTACAATAATCATGAAATATTGATAGTTTATGTTTTCTTTATGATAATAATAATGATAAACAATAGTTGTTGATGATGATTGATAATCTGCTTCTCTTCAATTGGTGACGATTGATGAGGAGAAGGAGCGTAGAACGAAATTATAGTAATGCAAATGAAAACATTAAAGTATATTTTATAAGTTTAAAAGAATATTAAATATAAATTAATTGCAAGATTTAATTTATGTTAACTATAAAATTAAAATATTGAAATTTCTTCTTCTTTTGTATGATAAAAGCAGAAGAAAAAGAATTGAGATAATGTTGATGAAAATTCCTCTTCTCTTAAGATGAGAGAAGAAAAAGCAGTTTAGAATGTTGAAGAAGAAGGAAAAACTGACTTTTTAATGAAATGTCGACACGAAGATAATGTGTCTTAGCATTTCGCGTCACTATGAAACATAAAATAATAATAAAAATCAATTATTAGCTGATTTCACTCTCTGTATACAAAGAGTGCATAGAAGAAGTTTCTCAAACTTTTTAAGAGTGAGAAAATAAAATATGTAACGGTAAGCGACCGTTACAGGAGGCCACTCCCCATATATCTTCTGCTTTAGGTTGACGAAGTAAACGAAGAACAGCCTGTACAAACGAAAAAAACTACGACTTTCAATAATCATTTCAATTCAAACTGTTTCTTTTAATTTTGATTGCATTTTTCATTACACAGAGTGACGCATTATCATTTCCAGTATTACCAAAACGAGTACCGGTACCATCGTTTACTGACAATGTAAAAATTTCACTAATATAAAGTAAGTTAAAAACATACGGTCAGGTAAAGAAGGGTTAAGGCAAAGTTATCTCTAAGTATTCGATGTTTGACACGATGAGATAAGTTTCAAAGACAAGGCCTAGCAAGTTTTTAAATTATTTTTGGCGGAGTCAAAGGTTGTAAGGTGAAGAAATATTCTTACTTCGAAAGATTTCTAGAAAAGCTTTTCAAAAGCCAAAGTGTCTTATGTTGATTTTTAAAGCCTTTATTGAACTGCATAGTATTGAGCAGGTAAAAAAGAGTGCATCCTGATATTCTGACATAATTTAGATTGATCTTGACTGGATTAAAAAAATTTTAATTATACTCGAAAACAGCCAAAAATGAGTTATTCCACCTAATATAGGTTTTCACTAGGTTATTGGAGATTTTCTGAAAAACAAATGCTGCCACGAGATTTAGTGTGGTCGATTATCTAAAATGTTTCCATTATTTTCGGAATTACCACACCTAAAGAACTGCCTGAGACTCTTAGTCAATCCGATGCAACGCCTGAACCGGCAAAACTCAAGAGTTCGCTTAGTTCGCATTCTGAAGAGGACATCTATCTTTGGAAAAAAACTGATAGATTGTGATCTAAGTTTCCAGAGATCCGAATTGCTTTTCCAAAGATCTCCTTCCGAATAGTTTCGGAAAAGGGTTTGCTTATGAAAACATAGGTTAAACTGTCTTCTTTCGATCGTTGAAAATCACAAGTCTCTATCTTTTATCGTTTTGAAGTTATTCGAAAAACAGCAGAGTGCACTGAATTTTGGTGCTGATAGCAGGTATATCCGACTGTTGGTTTTTAACCAAAGTCTAATTCTTCTTACAGCAAGGTTCAAAGTTTGGATCGCGATTTTCGGCAGAGAAGAGAGAAACAGTCAGAAAAGCACAAAATATAAACTAATACTACGTTCGCTCTAAAATTGACTCATACTCTTAGAGTGACACTTCGGTCATAAGTGTACACACTTGAAGTGAGATTTTTCCTCCTTGCCTCATTCGCTAGAGCATTCAAAGCTGTATATTCTATGGAAGTTTCGCATTGGTATTCGTTTTTGTTCGGCCGCAGCAGCAAAATTATGAAATGTAATACAAAGAATTTCAAGCCGGCTTGAAATGGGATTTTCAGAATGAAAATCAGCTTTTTTAACTTTTTAACTAACATATTCTGAAAGTACACAAGTTCTTGATTATATTTAGCTGGTTTATGAGGTTTCCAAACTATGTACTAGAGTGCTAGTATGACATTAATTCAATTAAATCACGACCACTGTCTGTAAGTGAAACTCAATTTTGTTGGTCAAGACTTTTATTTTCGAGATGTTTGACTTTATATTTGTAATCAGCATTAAATTCTACATCAGACAATGTGTGTTTCAAAAAATTCTGACAAAAAATAATTTTTCGATATTGCAACGAGGTCATAGGTGCAAAACATTTTCGAAAAAATCGAAAGTCAATTCTCGAGTGAATCAAATACTTCATTTTACTCAGAATTTCATGCTGATTCTGAACATATAATTCTTTTTCAGAAATATTAGGGATGCAAAATGACCTTATCTGTCTCCGTCCTTTGTCCATTAATTTTGATTTGATCTTCCCTCCCATAAGCACGATAATCGCCACAAGTTGCTGCACGATTTCCGACAACCCCTCGTCACTGTTTGCATCATTCGATTTTACTCTTTCTCTTGCTTCGACTGAAGAAAACATTTAAATAATATAGATCAACAAGTGCAACGGTTCTAGTTATATTTACAATGTTAAAAATTAAAGTGTGGATTACAATCACATCTCCTAAGTAAGGCGAAGAAGTAGACATCGCATCGTATACTGGTTTATTTATATCTTGAAATATTTCCAAAATAATTAGCATTGGACAACGGACAACCATCTCCGGTTGATCCACCAAGTCCCCACCATTGTGGAAACATTATATTTTGATTATTAAAGATAAAAAAAATGATCAATGATGACACGGCTGTACCACAATCTAATGCTGCGGATGTTACAAATGCATAATGTTTCCACCATTCACTTGCATATTTACGTAATATTAACGTGAATAAACAGCCAACAATAATCCATGAGGGATAATCACTTAATTTTGCTGTTGCTATATTTGTGAGTACAGTGAATATAACTGGAACATGTATAAGAGATAGGTAGAGTTTCAGTCTTGAAGGTGAGAATTTCATTAGTAACCAAAGCAGAAACGGAAGAAATGCACCAATTAAAAAAAACCATAAAAGATGATAATAAGAGATATTATTCGTTACAAACATGCGTTTAGGTCCTACAAGACCCCATATGACTGATGCTGAATAAAATAAATTCGGATTTGGACATGACCAATTTAAACTGTTAGATGAACAAATACCATCAATATGACCAAGAAGATATGTTGCTGTTATGTATGCGACAACACATGAGATGAATGTTGATAGAAACTGAATAGAAAATGTTATACGCGGTGGAATTTTCATGTAATGTCCCAGTTTTAAGTTTGTCAAGAAAACAATAGCTGTTGTTTTCATTTCAACACCATAAGATTTGAATGTTGCCACACCCATTACATCACCTGTCATTATAAAGCCGGCAACAAGTTGTGATATAATATTGAATGCTATAACTTGATTAGTTTGTGCAGCTATAATTCCAATTGGTAATAAAGTGAAAAATACAAGAACAACACATAAAAATAAATAATACCATATCATCAGTTTACCATAATGACACAGTAATGATGAAACAAAAAATGTTAGACAAAGCACAACTGCATACCACCATTCGGGAACTTCTCGATATTTGGACATTAATTTTCCGTGTATATCACTCATTTCAACATCGACTGATGTTGTCATTTGGTGCAATATTTGTTTACCATGAAAGATTATTATATGGACAACGGTTGCTGGTATTACAGCAAATGCTATCCCGTAACTTAAAGCAAACAAAAATGCCAATCGAACATAACCATAGTGTTCATAAGCTGTTTGATTTAAATATAAGCCATTTGATAATAATATTTCTGTAATATTATACTTATCACCATTTTCGCGATACAACTGCGTTGTACCAATAGGAAAAAGTTTTGAATTCCATATATTTTTATAATAACCAATTGGTATTATTAACCAGCCGGATATAAGAAATCCTATTATTGTATTTAATTGAGCTATCCAGGGAACAATAATAGGTGAACCAAGAAACGCTGTTATTGCTATCCAGTCTAAACGAAATGTACCTAAACCAAGACCGTTATTACCGGTTACTTGTGAGAAAAGTAAATTCTTAGGTTTAATCAAACAAACAATTGAAAATGTTGATAGAAACGGAAATATATAACCTGGTAACCAATAATAACAAAAAGATATCAGTGATATATATAAAAACCATCTCAAACGCGTTAAAGTCCATTTAGATAAATTGGACTCTTTCTCATCATCTTTAGTTTCATGGAGTATACGTAGAAATGCACTAGTCACTAATGTGGTTGGCCAGATCATTGAACTAGGCCAAATAAGAAATCTCCGCATAATACCAGCTAAGGAATAACCCATCATCTGGGATGATAAAACAAGACATATTCCAACTAAATGTGACATGTCAAACTGATAAAAATGTCTCGCAAGTGTAATGAGATAAATTGTGTATGGTACTGAACTGCTACTCATTATTGTGATTACTGTATGCTCTTTTATATTGAAAGGACCTGGATTTAATGTAAATGTTATTTTCTTTGTTATATGAAGTGAACGAGTTGTTAATGTTCTTGCCATTAACTTTCCCAATGGATATGACAAAATCTGCACTATAGTTGATGTGACGACAACTGGATTCGTTCGAAATAAAAAGAATTGATTAATAAAGCTAAGAATAATTACAAATACAATACCCAGTAAAAACGAACGGAATGTTAAACATGGTAATGTTTTATCATCAGTATTTAATACATTAGCTGCCACTTCTTCATATGGCGATTCTTCAATAGCAGAGAATCTACTTTGTATATCCACTAATAAATCATTATTATTAATATATGCGTTACTATTACGACTACTACCATAATTATTATTTTGTGTGTCCATCAGATTCGAATGAGAGCACCAAAATAATTTAAATACAAAACAATTTATAAAAACAAACAATTACACACATCGCAACATTCATTCTGTCTAAGAGTTCGTTTCATTTCTGTCCAAAAACTTTCTGTCGTAATATAGCCATTATTCCTACTGTGTCCTTTCTTGCTATTGACAAGAGGTATATCACTGCGTAATTACTGCGTTATGGTTCATCTATATTCTTACCTTAACTAATCTAATTAATCTGTATTAATCAAAGAAAAACGAGAAAAAGCGTGACGCTGTGACAAAAAACAGTCAAAAGTGTCACACGGTTTTCTTTGATTAATACAGATTAATTTCGAACATGACAAGCTGTCACATCTTGTAGAGCAAACAAATTTCATACAAACTGGTATACGTGTTAAATTTTCGCCAGCTCGTCTTCACTCTTTTAGACATGCTTATCAGATAGCCCAAAAACCGATTTTGGAGTTGTTTGTACAACAGCTGTATTTTCATAACGTTCAGAGCCAAGACACTTTCCATTTTGTAGAGAAATGTTTAATCTACTTAATTATTGTTAGTGCCCTACTCCTCGAAAGGCTGATAAAAGTAAGCAGAGACCTAGTGGTACAGCACTGAGAGATCTCCGGACCTGTCTTAGTGGATGAGAGGGAGAGATAGGCTAACTAACAAAGATAATCACTACCCAAGGGCGATGGAATATGCACCTGATA